AACAATACCCTTCCTTGAAGGAGTTCGGACGGAGGCTCACATAGAAGTTCTAGCCTGTGATGACAAATTGAATTTTGCAACTTACGCTAGATGGCGCGAAATTTTTCGGAAGATTTCCTGTGAAAAAGTTAGACGTGTAAGAGTTTAATTATTTCACTTCCAGCAAAGCGGGCAGATTTCAGCAGCTAGTTCAAATATAATGACTGTCGAAAACTGCATTGCATGAAAATTGGTCTGCACAGCTATCCCAATTTCAATGGTATGCAATGAAAAGACCGCGCAACTGAATCAGAAAGGATAATTCGCACGTCTTCCACTGGCTTTTCTGGAAAACAACGTCATTCATTGGCGCTGGCAGGGGGGGGGAAGAGGGGGCAGTTGTCCCCCCCCCCATAGAAAATCATACTTGAAAATTATTAGCTATAGATTTCACCATAATTTGAGCTGGCTCCATAGGAAAATATTGTGGATAGAAATCATAATAATAATATCAGCTTTAAAACGATATTGAGAAATTTTCCTGATCTCTAGTATCTAATAAAACATTTGGTGTTTGATATCTAGTAGGTACTAGGTACTACATAACAAATGTCTGTATGTTTGAGGTGGATTTATAATACACTCATCAAAATAGTCTAGGGAACAAGAAATATGTCTTTTAATTTTAAGACAAAACAATTTTTTTTTTTAAGATAATCTAAGTATTATTTATCATACAAATCTTATCAAATTTACCATCTCCACTTTTTTTTGCAAGCTTGTTTAGTTTAAATATATTATAAATGGCATCAGCAAAAAATTTCTGATAAGTATAAGTATTATCTTGTTCCCTAGGCTATTTTGATGTGTGTATTACCTTGCATTTTTTGGGACTTACACCTCAATTGAAATTAATACCAGAAGTTTCTTGATCTTGATACGAATTACTACAAGCTCTCTAACATAAAAATAATCTGATAGGTAAAATTGCTCTTATCAGAGAGCTTGTAGTAATTCGTATCAAGATCAAGAAACTTCTGGTATTAATTTCAATAGGGAACTTGACAAAAAATTTAAACATGAAAATATTACTATAAATCATAAGAATACATTAATTAAAACCTATGTCAGCGAAAAAAATAGTATATTATGCAATGATCATGTGCCATTACATGAGAGTTGCATACACTATTTTTTCTACTGCCATTGATAAAACTTATGATATTTAGATATGTCAACATTATGCTTAACTTTGAATAGAGATTTCATAATTCAGTAATCCATACAGTTGAAGGTTTCATTTTTTGTTGTAATTCTTCAAAATATACTATCAAAACATTTTCTGAGAAGGATGATGTGTTTTTGGTGTTTCCAATCCATAAGTTGTCCATATAATTCTTTGTAAATTTTCTTGGACTTGTCCGGTAGTATATTATTACCTGCATTTGTCGCCCTTTCTGTAATTTCTGGAGGTGTTAGTGAAAATTCTTCGTTATCGCTCAATATTTACATAATAATGCCTTCTTCCAAACTTAAGGTATTAACTTTTAATGACAATTTGAGGTATTTTTGTTTATAAAATTATTGTTTTTCGCTAAATTACCATGGAAAAGCTATAAACAGAGTGCTGCCAACATTCAAAAAAAAAATCAAATTTTTTTAGCTGATGGCGCCATCTATTGACAATGTACAATAATGAAAAAAGTAAAAATTCTTCCTTATCATTCATTATTTCCATAATAATTATTCTTTGTCCCAAACTTCAGGTAACTTTTAAACAATTCGGAGTCTTTCTTATAGTTATCAAAATAATTGTTTTATGCAAAATTACCATTTAAAATGTTTATAGTATTTTACATTATTAGCCAGGTAAAACAGATTTTACTGGCGATTGAAGGAAATGACTAGCGAGCCGTCAGGCGAGCTTGTCACCTTCAAGAGCCAGTAAAAACTGCTACCTGGCGTATAATGTACAATAATTTATTTGTTACTCATTTGTAAAAGATATAGGGACAAATAAAAAATTAATACATAACAAAATTTTGAAATTTATACGTTTTTCCTTAATTTTTTCTCATACAAGTTGGTAGTTGGTATACCTATGAGAATGAGATGTTGTTAAGTCGTTGTTTCTAGTTAAAAATAGCTTTACTGACAGATTTCCATTTTTTGCAATTTTTTTCCAGAAATGAATGTGCTAGATGATATTATTAATGAAGCTACAGTCGCAGCTAATAGTTTACCACCAGAAAAGTCTACCAGAAAGTACCTACAAGCAATTATTCTTGTGATAAAACTGATTTTTTAAAAATAAATAATTCTACTGACTTGTAAAAAGTTTTTACAGTTTAGCTGTCAATTTTACAAGTCAGTAGAGCCAGTAGCTTGTAAAAATCAATTTTCGTTGTTTATGTTTTGACGTGATAAGTGACGTTTTACAAATGAGTGACAAATAAATATCTTAACTAGTGCTGCCATCTATCAACATTGTATAATATTAAAAATGAGTATCATAATGAAAATCTGTATCGTAATGAAGTTCATTATGATACAGATTTTAATCGTTTAATAGCGTATTATGAAATGTCAGTAGAAAAACAATTTTTTTTGTCGCAAACGGCCATAATAAGGAATTAAAAATGCGGAAAAATTCAAATTATTTCCAGCGGGAAAAAACGCTCTGGTACTGGTCGTGACGTCATCTTGTATGATCTGTCAGTGTCTGTCAGCAACCGTCCATCATACCGTGAGTTCGTTTTGAAACACTGAGTGCTCGGAGCATTTTCCGTCTTTTTTCCTTATGATGAGAAGAACAGGGATAAAAGAACAAAAAATCAACTCCGTGCGTTTACTCGAACTCTACATAATAAATACCTACCCGTTAGTTATGTTTATTTACGTTTTTCTCTGATTTTTTAAAATTTTATCATTTATTAGAATTGGTTTACTTAACTTAAATTTAATGATCAGCTCAGCATTATATGGATAAAACGATATACCTATTATTAATTATGACCGAAGAAGGAAATTCCCGAGGAAATTCCAAAGGCCAATCCAACAATCTGTAATTTGTAGCAAAAGTAAGTATGTGCGAATCTTTTTTTCCATTATACTTCAAAATTTACAACTCGCCGCCGCACAAAACAACAACAAACCAAATAACTGTGGAAAATGTGGAAATCAACCAAATTAAATAAAATAAAGTATGACGTTTTACGACAAGGTGAAGCCGGCGCCACACGATGTGTCGAATGCCTTTTAACGTTGGACAGATAGCGATTTGTGGCATCGTGTAGCCGTGCGCTCATCGGATACATGATACATTTGCCGAATGCTAAAGTAAAAAACACTGTACCCAACGTTGCATCGACCCAACGTTGGGGCCAATGGTTGGACACATCGTGTGGCGCCGGCTTAACGCAAATTCATACTACGTGACGTCATCCAGATTCGCGCGCATTTAGGATCGTTTGAAATGCTTTTAATTCCCGCGAAACTTTAAACATTTTTCACCAAGTTATTATTGAGTTTCAGGGAATAATATTTGGGGAATACTCTTTCAAGGCATAAATAAATGATTTGAAAAAATTAAAAAAAATTGTAAAGTTCCCTATTGAGGTGTAAGTCCCAAAAAATGCAAGGTAATATTAGGTACTACAAACATACTTCTATTCATGTTTATATTTTTTATCAATAAGATTTTTTGATTTAAGAAAAATATATTAAATGTAAAAGAAGAGTTGACGTAATTTTTTTGCACCTCTCCCTAGAATATTTTCTGCCCTCCCTTGGATTATTTTCTGCCGGCGCCCTTAGCCATGTTCATTACGTTCCTTTTTCCGTCATGTATCGAGATGGCGTTATATAATCCTTTCCATACAACAACAGAAATCCATTTTTCGTAAATTTTTCCCATATTTTAATAGTCATTATGCTATTCTAGGCGGAGACCAATTCAACGAATCAAAGATCATGAAAATCAGTCCAACCGTTCTTGAGGTATGAATGATGTAATTAACTCGACTTTTTTTCAGGTTTTACAGCCTGTCAAAGTTGCAAAAAGTCAATTTTCAACTGTCAATATTTCCAAAACAGTTGAACTTAGGTATAGGGTATATTACATGAAATCTGCTCAGAATTTTACGTAGAATCCGAATATGTAATCACATGCAGGGTGTTCCATTTAAAATAGCGATGTTGCTACTAGTTTAGAGTAGAAGCGGCAACACCGCATGGTCAAAAATATTTTTAAAGTTTAGATCATGGTCATTTATCCCGGTTGCCGAATTTTCATAATGATCCGCTTTTTAGTTCTCCATAAACGTCTAATACGCCATCCACCGTGGGACACCCTGTATACAGTGTGTTCCATTTTGAAAAAAATAACTTCACACTGCTGCACTTTTTTGACGCACCCTGTATACCTAAAACCGACTTAGTTAAAAACTTTCGACTATTTCTTGAAACTTTTATATTTGACACTTTTGTCAAAAATGTCAAATAAAAATGCTACAAGGAGGTGACATTTATAATAGATTACCCTGTACATTCGGGTTTTAGACCATTCTCAACAAGAATCTGCTAGTAGATTTTTTCTAAAAGTAGTCCTTAATAGTACTTATTGAAATTTGAGCCTATAAATGTGGACACCCTGTACAGCAGTACAATCGCAGAAATAAAATTATGAGCCAAATAAGTGCCAAATTCAAGTAGATGTAAGATTAAAAAAATTGAATTGAATCAGTTAGAAAATAAAAATTTTAGAAGGGTGGTCAGTTCTTAAGCGGGACACACTGTAGATATCTATTCACAATCCGATGTCCAAAGGTAAAGGTAAAATAACCACATTTCGGTGCTATTTGATAGGGAAAGGTGATAAATTTACCTTTACCTTTGGACTACGGATTGTGAATAGTGTTATTTGGATTTGCTTCATTTTGTAACATAATATTCAACTCCATTATCTATTATCCTGTTGGTTAATTTTTTTTTATTTTTCGTTAAAATTTATTTTTTTCTAGGTTCTACTAAGATCGCCATACATTGGCAGAGAGTTTATAAACCTCTCACGCTACAAACAAATGGCAGGTAGGGCAGGTCGAGCAGGATTCGAAGAAACTGGCGAAAGTATAATCGTGACATCGAAAGCCGATTTACCGAAAGTGAAGGAACTTTTAATGAGCCCAATGAATAAAGCTATGTCCAGCATGCACCTTTTTGAGGGAAGAGGACTGCGGCATCTATTGCTCAGTTGTATAAGCTTAGGAATAGCAAACACGAGAGTACAATTGCATAAAGTGGCCCAATCTACACTAATGGCTGTGCAAGTAGATAAATTAGACATTAATATTAAGCAACTCACAGATGGTATTATTAAAAAGTTGTTCAAAATGGGAGCCTTGGAAGAAGGAACTGATAAAGGTAATAGAAAAAGCCTGGAATCTCAATGTAATGTTACTGTAAAGTTGGATAGTACATTTGCTGTGAGTAATTTCTCTTTATTTAACTTCTATAAATTTACTAACTAATTTCATTGTAGCCTGATTTAGACGCTTCGTTAAACAGTCTAGCTAGTACAAGTGCAAAACCAAAACGAAGATTAATGTTAACTAATAATACAAAACTGGTGGTCAGTAGCCTTGGAACTGCAGCAATTAAAGGTAAAAAAACGGAAACATAAAGTCACATTTGAATACATTCTCGGTTTTTAGGAGGATTGGATCTATCTCGAGCCCACCAGCTGTATGACGATCTCTATCAAGCCCAAAAAAGTCTGGTTCTATTAAACTGTCTGCATTTGTTGTATTTAGTGACTCCTTATGAAACTTCAGAACATATTAAACCAAATATACAGGTGTATTATGATGTGGTAAGCAATGATAAAATGTTATGAGGGAAGATTCCTTAAAAAAATTATTTTAGTTGACACATTTAAATGAAAAAGAGGCGCAAACATCAAGAATTTTAGGCTTTGATGAAGCAGCTACCTGTAAAATGGCTACTGGAAAAGCTACAAAGGTATTTATCAAATAAAAGCAGCTTTCATTTTAAATTGATAGTATCTTTTAGCAAATTCCTGAAAGTATCCAAAACAGATTCTATGTCACTCTGATGCTTTATGATCTTTGGAATGAAATGCCTGTGTTTAAAGTATCAGAAAAATATCAGGTAAATTTAAGTATTTAATTCAACAACAACATTCTTAAGTTTTCTTATAGATTAATAGAGGTATTGTTCAAAATCTAATGACAAATTCATCCACATTTTCCTCAAACGTTGTTCATTTTTGTGAAGAATTGGAGGAATTTTGGGCATTTGGGCATCTTTTGAAAGGGATGAGCCAACGCTTATCACATTGTTGCGTCAGAGAGTTGGTGCCGCTTATGGAATTACCATCAGTAAAACAAGTGAGTAGATATTTTTCATGCAACTAAAAGACATTATGAAAACTCTAATTAGAGTCGAGCGAAACAACTTTATGCTGCTGGATACAAGAAACTGCAAAGTATTGCCAAAGCTAGTGTCAGTGAATTGGTAGAAAATATTGAGCATATGACTAGGAGAACAGCTGGACAGCTTATAGCAGCTGCAAAGGTAGTTTTTACATAATAAATTTCTTATTTTATTTTTTCCTATACCAAACAATATTTTAGATGTTGCTTTTAGAAAAAGTTGAAAATCTTCGTGAAGAAGCAGAAGACGTGTTAGATGGGGTTGAATTTCCTAGACAGTTGTCGAATGTTACTAATATTTCCTCTAAATAATCATTTGATCTCAGATAAAATAGTAGGTGGTTACTTTTTATACAAAATTAGCCTAATAAGTAGTGTAGGTATTTATTTTTATTTTAAAAGGATACATTTTTAGTTTAGTATTATTAGTCTTGCTGCAAATTTAATACATATGTATTTATTTATTTTATGTTTATGGTTATTCTGTTCTTTATTATTTATTTTTGTTACTATATTAGGTAAGTACTTACAAAAAGAAACATAATTTTTAATTTTTTCAATGTCTGTTTAATAAAATATTTTTGAAATAGTTCATGTTTCATTTGACTATCTCCTAGTTCACGCTTATTCAGTCTTCTGAACGTCAACTCAAATAAACATGGATAATGATTTGGTAGGCATAGTTAGAATTTGGAGAAGCGAGATTCTTGAGCTAACTCATTCTAAGAATCCAATGGCCATTTCCATCAACTATTTTAGGGAAGCTCTAACGATAGGTATGCCTTTAACTGACATTTCTTAATGTAAAAATGTCATTTTAGGGAATACTTATCGTTAGGGTTCCCCTAAAATGGTTGGTGGAAACGGCCATTAAACATTTGTGTCCAGAGGTACAGGCAGTGAGAGTCCAATAATCTAACAGCAAAAATTGCAATGTAACATCATCATATCGGTCAGATCGAGGCTCAGATCCATCATGGTCCTGGGCCACACTTATTCCTTTCATTTGTTCCAATTTTAGGCTCCAAGTATATGACTATCATCATGTACTTCAGGTTTGTTATGTTTTCAAATAAATTGATCTTCAACTTGATTATTATCAAATTTTTTACCTAATATTGGATGATTGATTGATGGAAGACATGAAATCTAAGAGAGCAGAACATGTCATTGTGCTAGATGAGACTAGATTCTAGGCCCTAGGCGGTTGGTAAATGGTAGTCTCAACACTGCTTAATAATAGTAGAAAGCTTCCTAAAATAATTGACTATTACTGAAATAATTTTCTAAATTGTACCTCCCCATACGTTCGACGTTTACATATTTCCTTCCTTTGAAACGTGAAATTTTTATCTCATAATTTCAAAAAAAATGGAGATTAGCAAAAATTCAAAAATTTAGCCCCCTTACTTTTGGAAGGCCTCTGCCTTTTCCTACCATAATTATTGAAAAAAGCCCGAATGTTCCGTCTTTCTCAATGATAGGTAACTGATAATATAAGTAACAAAGACGGAACACTCGTTCTCCTGGGAACGCCACTCCCCTGTTTCAAGAATAATGACCCTGATGTGAAGTTACGTAGCTTCTTGAAAACTACACCCTACACCAAACACTCCCAAATGGAGGAAATACTAGACAGCATTACCTAGTAATTTCTGCAGCATAAACTTCTATATATCGAAGTAAATAAAGCAAAGTATAAAGTAATTATTCCTAGTACATACTTTAAGAATTTTGTGGAGTAACAACCAATTTCATAATAGAGAATTGACGTGTCTCGTAATACCTGGTGTGCGCGCGCAACTCGTGGGTTTCAGGTGAGCGTCCAATGAAAATTGAGTTTGTTTCGGGCTTGCGTCATGTTCATATTCAGGGACGAGTTCAGAATTAATCGTTCCTTCTTTATTTCTAACGTGTAATTCGACAAAGAGCAAACTAATATTTTACGTATTACTTGAACTTATCCCAGTGTCGTTTAAGGTTATGTTAGATTATACTTGACATATTCCTTTACAATTTCATTGTGCGATGTTGCCGGATGAAACATTTATCAAAATAAATGTGCCATCGATGGTAACATACACTTTAAAGCTCTTCTTTTGTCTGATTCAAGGCGTTGTAAAACACTTGACAATATATCACTTCTATATTGTTATAATGTTCGATTTGTATTATCTACATTTGTTCTGCAACAATACAATCTGGCTACACTGCAGCCACGAGTTGCGCGCGCATGTCATTTTTTATTACGTTCTAACTTGTATTTATTACAATTAGGCTTTCTTTTTCTATTTCTGCGAGACACATCAATTAAAAGTTACTTTAGCTAAATAAGACTTTTAGGATCGGATTTTTCAACTTCAAATGGAGCTTTAAATTTAAAGTTTGCTCTAAGTTGATTATGGAATTGGCCGTAAATGCTTTAATTATTTGAAGTGGAAACTGGAATACCTAGAGCAATTTCTTGAAGTAAAAGCAAATACCTACTATTCTTAATCATAACGCCCAATATCTATTAAAATATGTATGACGTTAATTTATATAAATTGTGTTTTATATGAGATGCAATCAGGGTTGGAAAAAATCATGATTTTTTTGAAAAAATCAAAAAATCAGATTTTTTTGATTTAAATCAGATTTTTTTGATTTAAATAGGATTTTTTTAATTTTTAAGAATTAAACGGCTTTATTAATTTTTGATCAATTATTGGTAATTTAGTTTCAACAATGAATGATGCAGTAAATATAGTATACCTACTCCTAGACAAAATTATCGCACCACTGCACATAAGCACCACAAAAGCAGTAGTACGATAATTTTGTCCATGAGTACATAATAAGAGTAGGTACTTATATAAAGTATAATAAAAATAAAAATTTATTAATGTTTATTAATAAATAAATAATTTCAACAAACAAAACAGTAGATAAACGGTAATTTCTGAAAACAAAAATAAAAAACATAAATAAAAATATTCGATAGGTAGAGGTGTATGTAAGGTACCTACCTATCTATTACTCTGCCCCTTAAACTTAGTAAAGAGAAAAAAAAAAATAAGTCAAAATAAAGTAAATAATTCTTTTGTAAAAAATGAAAATAATACTACTTTTATAAAAAAAAAATATTCCGATTTTTTAATATACCAGCTTTGCGGCCTTTTAATTACCAAGTCGATTTCTCGAATCATTATGGCAGATTATAAAGGTGGGTTTATACAGCACATAACATAACATAAGAAATAAGATAAAATAAGACATAACATAATATAAGAAATAAGAATTTTGTGGCGTTTATACAGAAAATAACATAACATAAGAAATAATTTCTAACCAATCAGCTGGTACTTGTACTTATGTAAACTCTATCGAAAACACATTTGAACAAAAAAATTAATAATTAATAATTTAGCAGAAACAGAAAATAAATATCGAATTCCAAAAAATTACCAATAGCTGAAAACAAAATCAAATTTTTTTTTTTTTGGTTGGAATGTTTTGTTTACTACTCCGCCATTGCCGACATCAAGGGAGGAGCATGTGCAGATCCGTTTTCACATAAAAAAAGACATAAAAGTTAAAAGTTAACCAACTTTCTTATTTCTTATGTTATGTTATGTTATGTTATTTTCTGTATAAACGCCATAAGGAGTTTCCATAAGGTCAACTTTTTATCTTATGTTATGTTATTTCTTATGTTATGTTATGTGGCTGTATAAACCCACCTTAATACATATTATGTATGTTGAAAATATTGTCTCTACCCCAGCCGAGGATGGTATTATAGTCAGAAATTTCTTAATAATTACTAAATCCTCTTTGGTTATCCCATTTATATAAGTATGTGTATCAAAATAAACGAATATATTTTCAATTTCTAAAAATCGATTTAAATCATTGATTTTTTTCAAAAAAATCACTTGATTTAAATCATGCCAACCCTGGGTGCAATGTAGGTCTACAGTAGATAATATGTATAAACAGAAAAACATCAAATTTTTATTCGATAAATCCTAATTTTATTCAACTATCTTTTCTTATAAAGGCATGGTTGCAAAGAAACTACCGGTAATTTATTTTTGTCCTTAGCGTTGCTCTCCTTCTTTAGGTCAATAAAATAAAACAAATTATAAGAGAGATCCATCCAAGATTTTTTGAACCCAAATTGTTCGCAGCTTTTTATAAAAGTATGGACATCTTCGAAACGACTTTCAACTTCTGCTATTTTAACCATACCACTAGAAGAAATGTAGGATTTGTCACATTAAAAAATTCTCAAATGCGTCAGATCCAATAAAACTCTTACCCTATCTTGAGAATCCTATTAGCTTCCAGTAAATAATCCTTCAGGTTGGTACCCATTAGTGATAAGCAAAACACAACTACGTTCACAGAAGAAGCCTCTAAAGGTACATGAGCCATATCACAAGCAGTAACCAACTCATTTGAAGCTACTAAATCGAATGAATGGACTTTTTGTTGCAGCGATTTTGCTAACTTGGCCTCGCCACAACCAAAATCGGCTATTATGAAATTTTTGTCTCTAAAATGGAAATTCCAATCTAATATCTTTAGGCAAAAAAACATTGAGACACTTACATTTTATTCAAAGACTTGATAATTTTATCCACAGGATTCAATGGCCATTTTCTCACTTGTTGCTTATATCCCTCATGGTAAGCCTTAAATGCTTCTGGATCACGTCGAAATATTTTTTCAGTCTCTTGGCCTGTTGTGCTGTAAATTTGCTCATTGAGGAATCTGAATCTTGCCGCTTTGAGCTTACCCATCATTTTTTGTCTTAATGTTAGAATAGGTTGGTGTTTTCTAGGCGACGTTTGTTGATTTTGTCCTTTATTCGTAATTAGAGTTTTTAATTTTTCAAGTTGATCTTTGCGCTTTTTCACAATGTTTGAATTAAAATCTTGTTTGTTTTTCAGGACAGGATTTTTTTTAACACCTTCTTGTTTGCTATTAGGCAATGGTTCATTTATATTCATTTTCTTTTCATGTTTTTTAGAGTTTCCTTTTTCTTCTTGAAACTGATCATTTACGTTACTGGGTTTGATAGTAATTTCTTTTTTAGTAATTATTTCTTGTTTTGTTTTCTTCGAATTCTTAGTTTCATCTTTACAATTTGAAATGCTACACTTTCTTTTCAATCCTTTTTTAGATGTAAAAGTTGTATTATTTGCCTCTGAGAATGAACTATTTAAAGGAGTTTCATCCTCTGCTTTTTTCAAAATTGTTTGTGTGATTTTCTTTTTAATACGCTTTTTGCCATTGATAATTTTTTCTGATACTGAAGAACTAATTGTTTTTACTTTCTTTGTGCCCTTCGTTTTGATTTCATTCATCACTTTAGTCTTGTGTATTATTTTTTGTTTCTTCTTCTTCTTTTTCTTCTTCCGAACATTATCCTAAAAGTGCAAAAACAAATTGTTATTCAATGTTAGGGCCGGTTTACTCACCTTCTGATGAACTTTCAGGTATGCAAACTGACAGACGAAAATGCAATCTGTAATCCTATTGGTCGACCAGAGTTATCCGCCGATCAATAGAAATATAGAACGGTAAATTTATCTCGCAGATAGTTACCAGAAAGTTTATCTGAAGATGGATAGACCGGGCCTTAATGTGTTGAAATGCCATGGAAGAGAAATTGAAAAAATATTTTTTTTTTTTTGCAAAAGGAAAGTAAATTTTCCACATGCCTAGCAGATGTCTGGTCGCTAAATTTTCATTTTTTGAGCTCAGCACTGACATTATTTTCAGTGCTTAAAATCCCCGAAAAAAAAAATTGTTCAGAAAAATCTGTTGATGATGATGTCTGGATATCCAGATGAAATTGAGGATAAATTGCATTAAGTATACATTTTGATAAATGTTTGTTTTATCTAGTGGAGAACGACTTCAGCTGCTTCATGTTGATTAGGAGGAATGAACGTCAATCTTTGATAATTTTGATTACACATTCACTCCACCGCTAAATATGGACTTTTAAACTGTTAGATTATGTGTTAAAGGCTTTGCACAGAAGCAGGGTGTAGACTGCACAGTAATCTTTGTAGATAGAACTCGTTATGATTCTCTAAGAGTCTTGTTGAAACTGAATACAAAATTTTGCAATATGATATTAAGACAGCTTTTCTCTATGGAGAGCTTGAAGAGGACCTGTATATTATGCATCATCTTCCCAAACTTTAGAAGCTGATAATCCACAGAAAATGTAGTATGCAAACTTAACCTATGGTTATATGGACTGCAATAGGCACCCAGTTGCTGCAACCTGCAACAATTCATAGCTTTTTGGAACATGAATTTACAATTGAAGAGGTAGACAAACATGTTTTTTCTGAATGACATTGAAAGCGTCTGCAACGACTCCGATTTTGCAGAGGACAGTGTAAGCAGAATATCTACTAGCGGCTACATTTTCAAGTTAGTTGGTGGACCAATAACATCGACTATCAAGAAACAAAATACTTTATCACTCTTCACAACAGAAGCCGAGTATATTCCTGATGAACTACAGGCTTTTTTACAAAAAGTTTACTGAAAGCTCACTTTGAGTAGGTACATATATTATATTGTTTATCTCTTTGTGGTGTGAGTGACGATACCTAATTACAGTGGCGGCTGGTGAGAGGAAAAGTTGGCGGTGTACACACTCAGGGGGGAAGCCCCAGAGGCGCGCAAATTTTTTTGGACTGACCCAAACTAATCCAAATTTTGATCTAAAAGTTGTAAAAAAACATGCCTCTGAAAATTATTTCACTTATTCTCAATTCAAACGTGAGCATTTACCATTTCTACAAAATAATAAATGAAGCACCGGCGGAGTACGAGAAATTTATTAAAACAGTTTTATATAAAATAAAACATATGGCACCATACAAATCAAATAGGAATCAAATTTATAAAAAATATGTACTGCACTGTCTTTCCAGACGAAACTGATTTCTTTGCAGCAGGCGCTTCAAAGAAATATGCCGCCCCATGGCGCCAGGCACGCCGCTAAAAAATCTAACCAATAAGATATTCCTGGAGTCAACGGTGACTGTCTATCGATAGTCAAAACAAATGAGACAGTAAAAAAAAAAAAAATCCTTCCAGATTTATCCAGACCTTATCCAGACTTGTACAGACTGATTCGGATTCTAGAAAATGATCCCCAGGTCTTTTGGGACCTTTTCCAGAATTTTTCCGACCCTTTCAAGAAATTTCCAGGCCTTTTCCAGACGTTTCCAGAGATTTCCAGACATTATCCAGACTTATTCAGAGTTTTCCAGACTTCATCCATATTAATCCAGACTTTATCCAGACTTGTTCAGACTGATCCGGATTCTGGAAAATGATCCCCAGGTCTTTTGGGACCTTTTTCAGAATTTTTCCAACCCCTTCCAGAAATTTCCAAGTCTTTTCCAGACGTTTCCAGAGATTTCCAGAGTTTTCCAGACAATATCCAGACTTATCCAGAGTTTTCCAGAGTTTTACAGACTTTATCCAGACCTTATCCAGACTTGTACTGACTGATCCGGACTCTCGAAAATGATCCCCAGGTCTTTTGGGACCTTTGGCAGAATTTCTCCGGCCGTTTCCAGAAATTTCCAGGCTCGTTCTAGACGTTTCCAGAGATTTCCAGACTTCATCCAGATTTACCCAGATATTTTCCAGACTTGTTCCAGCTCACTTGGCTTGTTCCAGGTTCTTGTTGTGTGTTGTGTGTTAATATAAGCGTGGTAAAAAAGTGTCGCTTTTTCGTTTCATCGAGTCTCAAATAAATCACTCCCAACTATCTACTGCACTGTCTTTCCAGACCAAACTGACTTCTGTGCGGTGGGTGCGGCAAGCGGCAAGCGCTTCAAAGAAATATGCCGACAAAGATGCCGCTAAAAAATAGGAACAATGTCCGCGAACCGACTCTCAAATTAAATTGCCGCAAAAACTAATCTGGGCTCTTCGATCAGGTTGCCCCGTTTGGCCCGTTTATACATATAAAAACAGCAGGTTACTGGGAGCGCGGCGTGACCTTCTCCAACGTAATTGCCGTGTTGCAGCGGGGCCGTTGTGACATGGGCTCGGACAGATAGTCCAGCGAGTTTAGTTTGGTCAGTCGCTTGAATTATTGTCTAGGAAATTTAGGAATAATAACAACAGAAATTTTTCCGTCGGGATCAAATTATGAAATGATAATTAATTTGATCTGGCGATTGTAATAACTATTGAACTAAAACTTTAACGAATTGACTCTTAATATAAACAAATCAAAATATATCGCTTTCTCACTCACTGATGTTAATAGACCGACCTTCGGATTTTTGCAGTTACCGAGAACAGTACTGAAAATCAATGAGGTTAATCAGATTAAATACTTGGGTGTGATAGTTGACAGGAATTTGAAGTGGTCCAATCATGTAAATAGCTTAGCTGTTAAAACAAGAAGGCTGGTCTACAAATTTTATGAGCTCCGTAAATTTGTGAACAAAAAACTGCTTGTAACAATTTATAAAGCACTGGTTGAATCCATCTTGCAGTACGCCATAGTCGTGTGGGGTGGTCTCTATGTTAGTGCACTAGAACCTCTTAATGTTGTACAAAATTACATATTGAAGGTTATATTTCAAAAAGAAAAACGTTTTCCAACTGACCAGCTGTATAATGAGAATGTACTAAGTATAAGAATGCTGTATTTCTATAACATTTGCCTTTTTTTATACAAAAACAAAAATTTACAAACAAAACTTGAGCACACATACCAAACCAGACAAATATCAAACCAAAATTTAGTAGTTCCTTTCTACGGAAAAGACAAATTACAAATTACAAATTATTTATTTCCATAGACTTTTGAATACAAGTATAGGGTGATGTCAAAAAAAAAAAAAAATTGTTTAAAAATAGATTAAAATATAAGAATAAAAGTTTCAATAAAAAATGGTAGAAACATGGTAAAAACAAAATCACAAGTTATCACACAAACAACATAGGTACATTTAAAAATTCTTTCTAGTTTTTTATTTATTTGGGTAGAAGGTCAGAGACGCTGCAATTCATAAATTGTTCAACAGAGTAAAATGTGTTTTTTGTAAGATTTTCCTTTAGAATATGTTTGAAGCGAGTCAATTTTTGAATCTTTTTTACTTCAGTGGGTAGCTTGTTGTAAAATTTAATTGGTAATACTATAGGACTATTGGCTACTTTTGACAGCTTGTGTATGGGGACCTCCAAGTTCAAATTTGTTCTCAATTCATATTGAGTAGCGCCCTTAGAAATAGAATAGTTGGAAATGTTTTTTTTAAGATGCATAATGGATGTAAATATAAATAATGAAGGAAATGTTAGTATTCCTAGTTCAGGGAATAATTGCTTGCACGAATAAGTGCATGGTTTGGAGCATATTGTTCTTACTGCCCTTTTTTGAGCTCTAAAGACCTCGTCAGCCCTGGTGCAGTTTCCCCAACACATAATACCATATGATAGGCATGAGTGTACATAGCCATAATAATACAGCAATAAAAGCGACATATCAACTCTTTCACGCAATTGCCAGAGTACATAAATGTATACAGAGAGTTTTTTCAAAACCGCATCAACCTGATTTGACCAACTAAAAAGATCATCAAGAATAATGCCCAGATATTTGGTGACCCTATTCTGTGTTATTGTACTGTTATGCATTCTAACCAGTAAGCTTTTATTTAGATCCGTAAGTGAAAATAACATCATTTCGGTCTTCGATTGATTTAAAACAAGACCATTATTACGACAAAAATGAATCATTCTATTCACGGCACTAGTTGACATTTTGGACAGTATCTCAAGATCCCCGAACGATGTGGTAACACTTGCATCGTCCGCGTATGCACCCACGCAATGATACGGAAATTGCTGCAATATACTGTCAAAAAAAATTATAAATAATAAGGGACCCAAGATGCTACCTTGCGGTACCCCACTAGTTATTGATAGATAACTTGAGTTAACAGAGGCATTTTCATTTTTCAAATTAGTTTTTTGTTCCCTATCAGTGAGGTACGATTTTATCCAATTGTAGGAGACACCGCGCATACCGCATTTGTAAAATACGTCAAGCATCAAGTTAATATCTATTACATCGAAGGCCCTTTTCAAATCAAAAAAGAGGCACAAGGACTTGTTGTTTTGCTCAAAATTGGAAAGAACATGAGTATATAAAGCTAAAATAGCATCCTGCGTTGAACGATTTTTTCTAAAACCGAACTGATGCTCACTAAAGAATTTTTCTTTCTGTAAAAACGATTCTAATCTTTTATAAAAACATTTTTCAAAAATTTTGGAAAAAATAGATAGGAGCGATATCCCACGGTAGTTTGACATCAAGGTTTTGTCCCCCTTCTTGTAAATCGGGACAACAATAGATTTTTTCAGAGAGCTTGGA